TATCAGTCAGTTTGACCTGTGCATTGAGTGAACTGCCCTACTAAGGCAAGGCATCCAGATTTAGTCCAGGAGCAGTAGATCATACAATTTTAAAAGGAATGGTAGTACCTCCATGTACTCAAATAGCGTTCTATGGCCTAATCCAGACAAGGTCCAATTAATGAAGTTATGGAAGCCATACAAGGAATATACTGTTTCCTATCCAAAGAGTGGGTAACATTAGCTCGAGAAGTGATTTGCGCTACAAAGGATAAAGTTCCAGCATTTTTTTACAATTATGGATGACTGGCTATCCAGCTGGATACTGAAAGGCTCATAGGTACTGTGAGCAATGTAAAAGTGTCTGATGCTAGCAGAATTGTTAGGGTTACATTCATTGTGCTGTGATGGAAAGCAAATGCAAGTCTACCAAAACTCACAAGAGCACTGCTCAAAGATTATGGTGAAAATATAGACCCAATGCATTAAGCGAAACTCAGTAACTGGTTGGTTGAATATGTTGACGTGTTTATGGGACCAGATAGGTGACTGAATAGAACAAAGGTAAACTCAGCGCCATATAAACACAGGTGACATGCTCCCAATAAAACAACCAATGTGCCAAGTTCCTTGGAACACTAGGGAGGCTACAAGTGCTGAAATACAGTAAATACTGCAGGAGAGCATCCTATAACCTATGAAGAGTGCTTGATGTCTTCAGTGGTGAAGAAAGAAAGTATGTCAAGGCTATGCGTGGACTTCCAATGGGTAAATGCAATAACTCGTATTTAGTGTATCAAGCGTCATAAATTATATATAGGAAAAACAGTTTGTAGACTTGGTGATAATTTTCATGGACATCTAACCTCTGACCTCCCAGTTCCTAACCACTTCAGTTCTCCTGGTCATTGTAGTACCTCCTATACCGAAGTCCTATTAATCAAAAACGCATCACTTAATTAACAAGTTCAAAAACCTAGAACACTGTCTTATTTTTCAAGTAAACACCAAATTTTCTTATTATCAATTAATTAACAAAAGATTTACTTTCAAATAAGTTAAAAAATATTTCTCATCAACCTTTTCTCTAGATATATTTTACTTACCATTTACTGTTTATTAAATCTCCTTTTTCAATCTTACCTCATTGAAAGTCTTCCCTTTCTCAGAAATATTTTCCTGGATTATTATTTTACTGTTTTATTTTACTATTTTATTATTTTTCGAATCTATGTTTATTATATTTTGTGTTTATATATCTAAATCGAATTTCAGTTTCTCTAATTACTTGTTTTACATTTTCTTGCTAATTTTAATACTGTTTGCTAGGAAAAGCTCAATAATGTATTTTATCAAACAATATTTTTGTTAATTTTCATTCTGTGTATATATTCTAGCCCTTCAAAGATTCTCTCTCTTAGTCTGGTTTCAATGTAACATGGTCTTTACTGCCTGAGAAAGGCGTCTCCACTTGACGTTGCGTAAAATGAAACGAAAAAGTTTTTATTCAGACATTTCATTTTACCTTTTATTAGTTTTTGTCCGAGTTCATCTGCTCATATCTCCCAGAAGAACAATCACTCAATAGTATGTTAAGATGTTCAGTTTTACTTTGTCATTACTATGTAGTCATGTGTACATTAATATAGTCCAACTAAATCATTTTTCGCTTTATTAAATTATGTAAATGTTAAAAATAAAAAAAAAACGAGTTACTTTAACTTTTGGTTGTAGTTAAGCACAATGGGATATCTGTGCTATGCCCACCACGGGTATCGAAAATCGGTTTATAGCATTGTCAATATGTAGACATACTGCTGTGCCACTGGGGGTGGGGGTGGGGCGATACTTTAAGAGAAGTTAAAGAAATACATGTCATCAGTTTCAACTGATTCATTCATAAGTCTTCGTAAAGTAGTAATCTGGTTGATTGTTGTCTGTCTCCTGTACGTTTTTTCCGAGTAATATTCTGAGTAATATTCCCGAAATAGGTAAGTATTTGTAGGTTGAGTTAACACTCTACAATTCATTTATTCAGTTGTGTGGAATAAAGATATTCTGTCAGAATTTCATGATAAACGTCACGAATTGTCAACGAGGCAAAATATTTCAATTTACTATGTTTTGACTTATAGCTATGAGTATTGTTTGCATCAAATAACTTTTGGGGGATAGAATTTGGGGAAAACCTGAATTTAGACCACAAACAGCTAATTGAAATAGGTTTTCATACATTATTAGTAATTTAATAACATAAAACGGCGATGTTATTAAGCCACATCTGTCCTGGTAGCTAAGAAACTGTAGATTCCATATTCTTATAGACGATTACGGCCAGTTTTTGTTTCTTGTCGGTAGTCAAACGGAGCATTAGTACAAGTAGTACAAGTAATGTTCAGTAGCCCGGCATGGACAGGTGGTTAGGGCGCTCGACTCGCAATCTGCGGGTCGCGGTTTCGAATCCCCATCACACTAAGCATGCTCGCCCTTTCA